GGCATAATACATTTTAAATTTATCACCTACTGAGATATGTCAAGCCTGGAGAATATCAAAACCATGCTTTCTAAGTCTAAAATTGTTAGTGTTTGAACTAGTAAAAGTAAATGATCACAGGATATGGCTTACACATAATAGACCATACACATTAAATTAATTTCTAACATTCAGGTTTTAAAATAATTGTTTTATATTTAAGCAAAGCTGACTATAATTTTTAAAATAGAAGACTGAGAGCAGAATTAGTAGGTTAATGTTTGACAATGGGTTATAACCATAGACTTACTTGGTATAACACAAAAGGAGTTTTGCATATGAACATTTCCAAAACAACAGCAAAATTCAGGTTTTATCAAAATGAACAATTAGATATTTTTGGCTTAATTTATACAGCACCATTTCAGGGAATTTTTACTCTCAAAATGAATTTGTTTTTAAAGTCTAGGCATTTTTTTTAAAAGTCTGTGTGTTATAAGAAAAAAAATCCTAACTGCAGGCTTTACACATTTAAAATCACATATATGGTTGTAAGGAAGAATTATATCATTTATAGCAATGCCACTGAATAAGTTCTTCATATTTCCATACAGATTAAGCTATATTCATGTTGTTTCCAATAAAAGACAACTTTAAAAAAATAAAATTTATTTGACAAAAACAAGTTCCTAATGTCCAATGATAATCTTCAAGAGATATGTCCTTGACATGAGATTTTTTCCCCTAAAAAAAATAAACCAAAAAAACAAAAAAAACCTTTTCCATTTATAAAGAAAAAAATATAATTGAATATTTTCATTATTTTATAATAAAAGTAGCTCTAAAAACCCAGTCATCCAAATTTGAAAAAGAATACAACTTTAAGGAAAAAAATGTGTTTGCTAGTGCTATTTCGATCTGCTTTACAATTAAGTACAGAAAAAATGTGTGTGTGTGTGTGTGTGTGTGTGTGTGTGTATATATATATATATATATATCTTCTTACAATTGAAAAGAAAGCTATATCTGTGGAAATGATGACTCTATAATGCTACATTGTAGCATATTCCTGTATTCAATATTGGGTCCATATATGAAATTTATCTACAGCCAGGTCTCACACAAAAATCTCGGCAATTGAGCAATATTGTGTTGAAACTCCCCCTAATCAAATCAAATGGAGGAGATATTTTTTTAAAAAAATCTTTCCTTCAAGGACAAGTATCATGAATATAAAATGCCTATGTATTGTATTTTGTATGATTTGGTTTTTACTGTTTTGAAGTATGCAAAACTCTTTTGTGTATTTTGCTGTTAGACTTTTGCTTAGGAAACGTGAACCTTCACCCAATCACAAACCATATACATTGCTCCATGTGTCTTTTACACTGAGTCTCCTACTGAGTCCAAATCATCCGATGAGAGGGGGCGATACAGGTCCTGTAAGATGAAGGGCGGTACAGATTCGTTTACTTGGCTTTCGTGGGTGCCCCGTTGCTCTCCTAGGAGCAACCCTGAATGGGCATCCTTGGTTTCTAATATAATTAGACCTTCTAAAGTCAGCGGCTTTGCAGAAGAGGAAAGATAACAACAGAGAAACCATCTACATAGACAAAATGATGCAGATGTCACCTTATCAGCCAGAAAAAATAAAGTTGCCTGATCTATTTGTACTCTTTTGCTTGCCACGTCCAGTTGAGCTCTAGCCCCAGAGGTCTTCAAGACCAACTTGGCCACTCTGTGTCTAGGCAATTCTTCCATGAACATTTTCCTTCCCATTCTGGGTATAAGAGGAATGTGCTTACCTCACAAAATCATTTAGCAGGAGCCCCTGAAGGCATTCAGCATATTCTTGTCCCAGAGTAGCAACTCAGGTGTTGCATTTACACAGAGTATAAACCCAACAAACACTGCCTTCTCAAAATTTTATGTTTGGATGATAGGAAGGATACATAATTACCCCCACCCTTTCCCAATGCTCCTTGCCTGGCCCCCAACCACTTGCTCGTCACCACCCTGCTTCTTCCCTCCTGCCCTTTTCTGCTATTAGATCTCTGTTGGTAGCCAAGCAACCAGCTCAGATCTGCAGGAGAGTCTACATTGGCCCCCACCCCATTTTGTACCACCCACTCCTCACATCATCTGACTGATCAGATAATCTACTAAAGTCAGTGATGTGGGAGTATAAAGGGGAGCTTCATTCAACCTACACAACATAACGTATTTTTGCCCTGATGTTTTAAGAAATGGGACCAAGAAAAGTTCATGGATGGGAAAAGAGCCTCCAGGAGCCCATTCTGTGACTATTCAGAAACTTCTAGACAGAAATTCAAGTAACGGGTGTTAGAAAAATTGGGGGAGGGGAGCTACTTTGGGCCACAAATATGTTTATGCAGACTCTTCATTTTTAAAGACTATTTAAAAACATTAGAAGAAGTAACATATAAACATGATTTTAAGAAAAAAACAGCTGATTAAATTGAAATACAAATAAAATATAGATTTTATTATTTGTAAAGAAGTCAAATTTCTCAACATTCCTTAAAAAAACATTCTTACATTCCTCTACTTTAAAAGGGGTAAGAAGCATATATATGTGTGCGTGTGCATGTGTGTATTGAGTTGGGGGAAGCCAACTCATTTTCCTGGTTATGTTGCTAGGCAACACAGAAGGAAAAAATAGAAGTAGCTACTGTTTTCTAATTTGCAATAAAAAAGTTAATTTATTCTTTGAAGTCTCTTCTTTTAGCACACACCATCTTTCACTTATTTCGGTATTTCCTGCATAGGAGTATAGCCAACCATTTGAGAAGGATATTAGCAAAATTTGAAACAGGATCAGTTTTTAGGGATATTCTCAGCCCATTTTAACTGGGAGGGGTTACTTGATGTAGTTGTCTACACACCAAGATGAAAGCCCTCTCACTAAGGCAGCTGGGAACATCTCCATGCACTGACATGGAACATAGATGGAGGATGTTCATAAATTCAAAGGCTCGAAAATAGAATCATCTTTGAATGGATACAGCTAGATTCATAAGCTTGGAAACCAAACCATCTTTGAATATATCCAGTGTCCTGCTCACAACATGTGCTTAATAAATGTTTTCAGATGGTGATAAGCACCCCCCACCCCACCCCCACCCCCCAAAAAACCTCAAATGGGATCTCTTTCTCCTCTCTCTCAAGGATGATGCTTGTCTTGGTAGTTTAAATGGCAAAATGAAGGATCTGTCAGAGAACCACACCTTATAATCATTTCCCAAGTGCTAAAAATGTTCATTATATAAGCCAATGACTACACAGCCAGATGGAAATTTTCTGCCTCAGTTGGACAAATCCAAGTGAAGCGGAGACTACAGAGGGCAAAGATGCACGTTTTAACTTCATTCTGCCAACAAAGGACATCTGAGCAAAGCTTTCCATCCCAATATGGAGGGGTCTTCACTATCAACAAACAGTGTGCATCTGTAGCAGGGATTCTCAATCACTCTTAATTTGACATCAACCTCAACCACTAAACGTGAGCTTCATCAATAAATCCGGAATCTGAATTTAATTGGATCAAAGAATAAAGGGGGGATTTCTGTGCTAGATGTACTCTCCAATGCCTCCATTTAGTTAGAGACAGGGTGGGAAACTTTTCTGAAAGAGGATCCTTATTGTGCTGTATCTAATACAATCCCTATAAGATTAGAGCCTTACTGGGTGACATTTACATGGAAAGAATGGCCACTCAGGCTCTTTCTTCACTCATGGGTAGAGCTTTAGGAGATTATACAAAATTGGCCAATTCTTCTTTGAATATTTGTTAATGATTCTGAACTTTATAATGCCCATATAGAGACTGCATCCAACGATCTAAACAAGTTCAGCCTGATGCCAGGTGAATCAGTGGAGAAAGATAATAAAGCCTGACACCTGGTGCTACAGGCTCCAGTGGGACTAGGAACTGACCAAGTCCCCCTTCTCCCCTCTGTTGAGATGGCCAATAGTTCTGTCAGCCTAAAGACCCAATCTGGGCAGGAGACTTGAAGAGAGGGGCTTCCATTTTGGGTGAAGCTTAAATTTATGGAATCAAGAAGTGTCACTTTAAAAAACACAACAAAAGAAACCAAATTCAAGAATCCAGTATTTGAGTGCAATAGCCGTGAGGAATCTAGCTTATTAAAACATTCGGTGACCATCATCATAATAAACTCTCCCAAGGGCACGCCCTCCCCTGACCTTAATTTTGAAATCAAAACCGTGAGAGGCTTCTATCCTTCCTTGAACCTTCCCCAGTCCCCCTCTCCAATTCTCTTATTCTTGTCTTGGGGTTACTGAAAAAGGTCAAATAGGACAGGCTGTGAGGGGACAGAACAGTAGTTCTTCCACCCAGAATGGAGAGCTAACTCTTACTCTGTTCCTTCACATGCAGAAACTAACACTGTTTTGCAACTTTTTTCACTTTGTTCTCCAAGCTCAGCCAACTTCTCTCTTATTACACAAGAGGCTCAAAATAAATACAAGTAGAGATGAGACAGCATGAGCTCAAAACGGGTTTCATTCACAAAACCATTTAGCCTATGTGCCCACCCCCTATCCCAGGAGCTCCTGGCTGCTCTGGAACACCACTCTAAGCCACACAGCAGCTCCCCTCCATCCCAAAACAGCACTCTTCCTTTTCCTGAAGGGGCTGGTCATCAGTGATGCTATCGAATAAAATCCATTACCATTAAGGAAGCTTAAAAACGAGTGCTTCTAAAGTCTGTGCATTTAAAACAAAAAAGAAAAAAAAAAAGAGGAAGGTATTTAAAAGTGAAGCAGCCCATGTACATTCTCTTTAGAGTTAAGATCTGGACCAAGATGATGGAGAAATTAAAAGCCCAGAGTTCTCACTACACCATAGCAATGGTAAGTGACCCAGTATTGTCACCCCCTCTCCTGGCGTGGTTATTCCCTAGAGACAAGCAGCACTATTTGTTTCTTGCATCAAGGCTCAGACAGAACTTAAACAGGTAGCTTGCTTGTTTCCTTACCCTCTGCTTCCGCAGGCTTCCCGGACTGGTGGGTGATGGGCTTGGCGACTTGCCCGAGCGAGGAGTAGAGAGCTGACTACCAGGGGTTCCATTAACTAGAAATACAAAGAATCACACAGAGAGAAAAATGGCATGTTAAATAATTTTCATGACAATTCATCTTTTCAGAGAAACAAACAGAGAGGGACATCTGCTAAAATTTAGATATTCATTTATCTGTATCATGGAGAAAAGCCTTAGAGGGATAACTGTCTTCAGAAACTCACTATTTTGTGAATCCTGTGTTTAATAGAGCTGCAGGTTACATAATAATTTTTAAAATGTACTTTTTACAACTTCTGATGAAAGTATTAATAATAGCTTTATCTGTGCCAACAGAGAATTTAAAAGTGTGGTTAAGACATTTTCGGTGAGATTCCTCCTTTTCTTTAGATGCCTCATGCTAACCCAGTAGGAGCAAATGTTAGCACAGCTCGCAAGGTACATCCTCAGATCACTGTGGGGTTTTTTTTTTTGTTGTTGTTTGTTTTTAAATAATTACTTACTTAATGACTTCTGGAAGTTCCTGAGTCCATGTGTTCCCTATTCATCCACCAGCCTGATTCTGGTGGCCTTGCTTTAAACAGTACAAACTAATTGGCCACAGACACTGAAGAACTCACAACAGGTCGGCGCTGCCACCAAAAAAAAAAAAAGCTGTCCACCAGCAGCAAAAAACCACAAGAATGCCGCATGATCAACAACTGAGAAGAAGAAGAAAACACTATCATCAAAAAAACAAAAAAAAACAAAACAAAAAAAAGAAACAATTCTCTCCAAGAAGCAGCACCGCCAAGAACAAAAAAAAAAACAACAAAAAAAAGATTTTTTTTTTATCAAGACACATAAAGTTGCCTCTATTTTACTTGTAAAAATGACATTACAGTCCACACTGAGTAAGGTAGAACCAGGCAGGAGACACATACACTCTGGAGGTGTACAACAGACACTTTCCAGGAGGGAGAGCGACAGTGCATTCCACTTACCTTCAATGAGTTCTAACATGGACACAGTGTTTGACCTGACAATGGCAAGAGGCAAGATCTCCTCTCAGCACTAAGCCGAGCACCAGCGGAAGTAGGGACCCGGTTGGATTAGTTAAGGATGGCTAAGGCTGCGCCCCGAGCAGCTGAATGAGATGCAGGATTCATCAGCAGATGCCTTTTCTGCGTAAGGCTGACGTCTTCCCAGCAGCAGTGGGAGGTGCGGGTTCTGTCTTAGTCTACATCAAAGGTGTCAATTAAGCCTCATGCCAACGCGGAGCCACTGCTACCCCCACCGACACACTCACTCCCGGAAGCCCCAGCCTTCCCAGTCCTTTGCACTGAATCATAATAAAGTGCTCTGGGGGCAAGAGCCCCAGTGACTCATCTGAGAATCAAAATGACAAGAACTCTTTTAAAGCCTGGCAACTACTAGGTAATAAGGACACCCTCACAAAATTCACTGGCAAGGTACAGTGTTTATTGATTTTTCCTAAACCATGTTTTCACAAAAACTTAACGGCCCATGAAAGTGGGAAGCTCCTTGTTTTCATCTCCTCCCAAGACCTTAAAAAAATGTCACACACGGTATGTTCTGTGCATGTCTAATTATTCTGCACCAATAAAAAGAATGTCAAGTACCTCATGCAGCACTAATTTGCAGTTTTGTCTTTGAAATGCATTTGGTGACTCCTTCTTAAAAAACAAAATCTGTAGTTTTTTTTTCTTTTATTTTTTTCAGAGTGAAATGGGAAACTGAGAATGCTTTAATTTACTTGTATACTACAGAATTTTCTTTGCTGAATGAGCTTCATGCTTGAGACTCAACACATTGGGCTTCCCAGCCAGTGGCTCAGTAACAAGGACAACAGAACGGTACAGAGGCAAAAATCTACTACCAGCATGGGAAGAGATACACTGCTGATTGGCCAGGAATGTGCTGTGTACATGTAATATATTCTATGCCCACTTCTCGTCCACTTTATATCTTTATGCAATACCTAAAGAATACTCAGACTGGACTGGAAAATGAACAAATAGGAAGTGAACCCTGTATTAACACTTTTCACTCTGGGGTCTCTAATCTCACCAAGTTGATGGGAAATGAAGAAAAAGAGGAAAACAGTCCTAGGCATAAACTTCTCACTTTAAGAATGCAAAGCAAGCTGAAGGTGGTGGTCCAGGCGCTTAATCCCAGCGTCTTGAGAGGCTGAGACAGGAGAATTCCAAATTCAAAGCAAGCCTCAGCAACTGCAAGGCATTAAGCAACTCAGTGAGACCATGTCCCTAAATAAAATACAAAATAGGACTAGAGATATCCCTGAGTTCAATCCCCAGTACCCCCCTAAAAAAAGCAAAACAATAACAATATATTTGTCCGTAGTAAGTACCCATTAAACATGTTTCTCAATTTATTGAAAACTTATTTTGTATGTATCAGTCAATACACTTAAATCTCTTTATAAATGCACACACATTTTTGCATTTAAGTGTATACATACTATCTCAATTAAAGTTCACAGACTCTGAGGTTGACATAATTATTTCTCTCCATTTCACTGATGAGAAGAATTGAGTCATAAAAATGATGAGCAATTTGACAAACAAGTGGGGGATAGAGGCCAAAATCTGACCTAGGTAATCCAAAACTATACCTTCACTAATTGCACCAGCCTTCTACCCCAGGGGAAAATCAGAGAACTAAACTATTCATTACAATGCAGCATTTTGAAGTGGGGAAATCCTGGGTGTTGCTATTGGAATTCTAACAGATTCAAATCTGGAAGGTCTACAACCAAGGGAGTCAAGGTTGACCTTGGAGAGGGCAGTGGGTAAGGGAGTTAGCCAGGTGATTTTGCAGAGGGCACAATGAGGGAAATGCATCTCAAGCCCAGCAGACAAGTGTTATTCATGGAAGTGACCTGAATAAATTAGCCACAACAGGTAGGTGAAGTTGGACAGAGAAAAGTGTTATGAATGAGGACGGAGGAAGAGACAGGGGCTGCAGGAAGTGCAAAGCATTAAAATTCAGGTGAAGGAGTTTGGTTTTTATCCAAAGGGCAAAGAGAAGTTATTGAATGACTTTAAGTAGGAGCAGAGGGATCAGGTTTGCATTTTAAAGAGCTCTCAAGAGCTCTTGGCCTGCCAAGAATGGCATAGCGGGGAACAATACTGGGCACAGGCTAGTCCTTATGAGAATGTCAAGGTGGGAGAAAGTAGGACACATTAAGGTTCTATGGCCAGAGATGGTGGTGAGATTTGGCTCAGGGTAGGCAGTGGGGGTGGAAGTAAATGGAAATGTTGCAGAGATATTTAAGAGGTTAAAAACTATAGAACTATAGTATTTGCTAATGGATTGGTTGAAGATTAAAGGGAACAAGTTCCAAAGGATAAGAGAGAGTTGGGACACACTGAACTGAAGGTGACCTCACGTGATCTCAAGTCTGCCACACTGGTTTGTGTTGCTTTTCCTGTTTTAGAGGAAGAAACTGACTTTCAAAGAAGTAACTTGCTCAAAGACAAGCCACTGAAAGGCAGCAGAGCTAGAGCTGAGCCTCCCTTATGTCTCATTCAAAAGACTTAGCACTTGTCCCAGGAGCAACAGGTCTGGTCCTGGCACCTCAGGCATACAGAACTTCCACCCCACCTGCAGAGTGGGCACCTCAAGCCCTCTCCCTCACTGGGGCCCTTGGACCCACCTCCTTGCTTTAAAGACACTGGGTCCAGTGCTTTCTCTTCTATTACCATCAGTCTGGAAAAATGAAACCCAAATGCCAAACACATCATTTACGTTTTACAACATGACCTGCCTGAAAGTTGGGGACGGTCTGTGCTCTTAATGTTGGAGGTCTTTTCAGACTCTTTCTAAGCCCAAAAAGCATTAGCCACCTCTTAAAATGGCTCTTGACACCCAGAAGGTATTACACCCGTTTTTGTTGCTAGAATACTTTTATGAGTAATTTCGAGGCTTGTACTGAGTTTACTTGCTTTTTATTCTGTGACACCACAAGTCCCTGAGTGCCAGTGAGAAGGGCTTTGTTACTTATTTATTTGTACTTATTAAAATTCAACTGGCATTATTTTCCAGAGGCCCTTATTAAACAATTCTTTACCTTGAATGGGGAAAATTTTCAGCTTCATGTGGTTATTCTTAAATAGCCAAGTCTAAGAATGAATTATTTCAATCTGAATTCACTGAATTTGGAATTAATAAAGAATTCACCACTGCCTTATGCCCAGTTATGGCTTCCTTCATTCAGATCGGTCTGGGTACATTTTCCTTCAATCCTTGTAAAGGTAAAATTTCCAAGCTGATTCTAAGCCGAAGAGCCTGAGTTAAAGTGTAAAAGACCAGGCATCCTAAAGTTTCCAAAGTGCAGGGATTGGGTTAAAAAGTAAAAGACTAGGTATTGTTAGAGTCCCTCTGCTACCCCCAAAACCTGTAATCCCTGTAGCTGTTAGGACAATACTGGAACTGCCCAGTAAATATTTCCACTGACTTTCTGGTTGTTTAATAGCTAAGGGTTCCGAGTTGCTTTGCACGTAGGCATTGCAGGACCTAAACCAATCAGTTTGAATGTGTACCCCACCTAGGAGCACCAATCACTCCTGCCCTGATTGTTCCCGCCAATGTATGCACTAATCCTGACTCAGGGTTGTTGTTCAATTTTCCCACGCCTCATGATGATTTGCTCTGATGTATGCAAAGCCCCCAACCCTCTCCAAAAAGTGTACTTAAGCTCCGCTTAACCCTCTCCAAAAAGTGTACTTAAGCTCCGCTTGACCACTGCTCTGGGCTCTGGGCTGCTCTCCCTTCTTGAGTGAGCACAGAGTCCCAGCGCGCTGGAATGGATCCCCAATAAATCCCCTTTTGCCAATTGCATGGAGTTAGTCTCTTGGGTGGTCTCTCCCTCCGACGTTTCGCCAGACCCTTACATCCTGAATTCCCTTGCTTTGCTTGTTACCTCTTGAATGAAAAGTGCTAAACTTTAGGATGGATTATTAGCAGATACCATGATGATCACTTACATAACTGCGCCCCAAAGGGCTGTGGAAGAAATCTGAGCACAGGA